TGAATCTGGGTTTTAGTCCATTCTGCTATCCTTTCTGTCACATTCAAAGTTATAATTACTAGTTGTATATTTCTCTCCATCCCATTTTTCCTCACTTATGTCCTTCTCTTCCTGTCTTTTTACACTATCTCTCCTCAGATGTCTAATTTATTTCTGACTACTGCCTCCCTAATCTACACTCCCTCTAAGAATCCTTCCCTTATCCTCTCTCCTTGCCTTCCTGTTCCTTAAGCTAGCCACCTTATGAGTCTCTCCCTTATCCCTCCTATTTCTTAATCTGCAAACCCTTCTAAGAATCCCTCCCTTATCATATCTCCTCATTCTCCTATTTCTATGTAAGTTAAGAAGACTATATATCTTCTAGATGTATATGTTCCCTCTATAACCCAGTTCTGATGACATAATTCTTCCATGCAGGTTTAACACTAAGCTTTGTTGGGTCAATTATTCTTCGTTTCAAACCCAGCTCCTTTGTTCTTCAGAATATCATGTTTTATGCCCTTTAGTTATTTAATGTAGAAGCTGCTAAATCTTGTGTTGTCCTGACTATAGCTCCACAGTATTTAAATTATTTCTTTCTAGTTGCTTGTAGTATTTTCTCTTTCAAAATTTAGCTAAAATGTTCTTGTGAGTTTTCATCTTGGGATCTCTTTCAAGTGGTGATCAGTGGATTTTTTTCAATTTCTGTTTTATTCTCTAGTTCTAAAATTTCAGGGCAATTTTCCTTAATATTTTCTTGAAGTATAGTGTCTAGATTCTTTTTTTGATCATAACTTTCAAGTAGTCCAGCAATTCTTATATTGTCTCTCCTTGATCTGTTTTCCAGATCAGTTGTTTTTCAAATGAGATGTTTCATATTCTCTTGCATTTTTTCATTCTTTTGGTTTTGTCTTATTATTTCCTAGCATCTTATGAAGTCATTAGCTTTCCCTTGCCCAATTCTAAGGTTTTTTTATGTTTTTTTTAAATTTTAGACAAATGCTAAAACTAATACATAGTAAGAAAAAGAAACAAACTTAAATATAAAATAAAAAAAATCATGTGTACAACAGAACATAGGAGAGGATTCAAATTATGTAGTAATAACTTTTCATTTCAAGAAAGCCTATAGATTAAATACTGTTCATTATGTTGAAAGCTATCTATTTTTTCTTTGCTTCCTTGTAGGTTTTCTTTTGTTCTCTGCTATACACTTTTTACTTTGTTCTTTTTTTTCCCCTCCCTCCCTCCCCCCTACCAACCACCCCAAGATTACAGCTGAACATTGGATATATTTATATATAGGTATTGATATGTACATACACTTATACATATATATACACATACATACATATGTACATATACATATACATTTCCTAAGAGATTCTACTCCTAATCTTTGTTTTTAAATTCATGCATATCTCTTTATTTTTCCTGCCTCTCCTAACTCCTCTACTTTACTTCTGCCTGCTACCTCACACTCTTATTGCTTAACCTACCCCTTCTCCAGCAATCCCTTCCTTATCCTCCCCCATTCCTCTAAATCTAAACCCCCTTCTATATCCCCTTTTAACCTATTCCCATACCCTCCCCTCTAATGATCCCTCCTTTATCCTCTCCCTCTTCCCCTATCCCCTTAGAATTTTATTTCTTTCTAAATTTAGAAGACTTTTATACTCTTCTAAGTGCATATGTATTTTCCCCTCTTAAACCCATTCCCAATGAGAGCAGGTTTCTAAAACTAACAGCCCCTTCCCCCATCTAATTCCTCTGTATTGGTTCTTCCTCTTGTACCTCATTTGTAAAAGATAATTACTCTTTTAGCTATGTTCAAATAGTTTTACTTTTTGAAGTCATATCATACTCAGGTCTACCCAATCTTCCTTATAAGTTACTAGTAACAATCTTAGCTATAAGTTTTACATTTTTCATACATACAAGGTGAATATTCTGTACTTATTTAGTCCCTTGTAATTGGTCATTGGTATATACCTTATATTTCTCTTGGCTCTTGTACATTAAATCTTTTATTGAGTTCAGGGTTTGTTTGTTTTTTTTAACAAAGACCTGAAAGTCTGACAATTGATCAAATGTCCATTTTTTTTTCATTCAGAATTATGCTTAGCTTTGCTGGGTATGATATTTTCAGCCAGAAGCCCAGTTCTTTTGCTCTTCGATATACAGTGTTCCAAGACCTTCGATCTCTTAGTGTCACTATTGCTAGGTCTTGTGTGATTCTAACTGTGGCACCACCATATCTAAATTTTTTTTTTCTTGTTGCTCGTAATATTTTGTCCTTGATCTGGGAGTTTCGAAATTTGACTATAATATCCCTGTGAGTTTTCCTCATAGCATCTCTTTCAGGTAGTAATTGATGGATTTTTTCTATTTCTACTTTCCCTTCTTGTTCTAGTGCTTCAGGATAATTTTCTTTAATTATTTCTTATATTATTGTATCAAGATTCTTTTTTTTATCAGAATTTTCAGGTAGGGCAGCTAGGTGGCACAGTGGATAGAGTTCTAGCCTTGGAGTCAGGAGGACCTGAGCTCAAATCTGACCTCAGACACTTGATACTTACTAGCTGTGTGACCCTGGGCAAGTCACTTTTCTCCAATTGCTTCACAAAAAAGGAAAGAAAGAACGAGCTTTCAGGTAGTCCAATTATTCTTATGTTTTCTCTGTTTGATCTGTTCTCTAGATCCATTGTTTTTCTTATGAGATGTTTCACATTCTCTTCTATTTTTTCATTCTTTATATTTTGTTTTCCTATTTCTTCATCTCTTATGACTTCACTGGCTTCCTCTTGCCCAATTCTAATTTTCAAGGAGTCATTTTCTTCCTTAAGATTCTAGATCTCCTTTTCTAATTGGTTGACTTTCTTTTCATAATCTTCTTGTATTCTTATTTTTTCTTTTTAGTTTTTCCTCAGTCTCATTTGATTTTTAAAGTCTTTTTTAAGTTCTTCAGTGAGTTCTCTTTGGGCAGGTAACCATTTGATATTACTCTTTGGGGTAGAAAAGGGTTTCTTTGCTTCAGTATCCTTCTCTGAAGATGAACTCCGGTCTTCTCTATTCACATAATAGGTCTCTGTGGTTGGATTCTTTCTCCTTTGCCTGTGCATTTTTTTTTGGGGGGGGGTAATATTTTAGTTTTTATAATCACCTCTAGTGCTGGGGTATGGAGAATGGTGCCTCTGATCCTCTTCAGTTCACCCTTCTGACCTTGAACTCAAAACAAGACCTCCAGCTTCCTGTAAGTGCCCGCAGCAGAGTTGTCCCCACCCCACTGCTTCTGCACTCACTGGGCACGTGCTGGTTCCTTCTTGCCCAGGCTGCTCTCCACAGCACAGCTGGGGCTGGAGTTCCTTGTCAGCAGAGCTTCCCTCAATCCTCCCCAGGTCAGATGTCCAACTCCCCTCATTGTCCTGGGGGTAAAAGTTACTATGGCTGGGATGGAGGCAGCCTTCCAAACTAGCTAACCCCAGGGCTTGGTGCTAGTTGAAGCTGATCCTAGCCTGGAGGTGTTTACTCTTCACAGGGAAGAAATCTCCTCCAGGGTTTTTCTTCAGATCTTCTCTAATTGTCCCAGAAGGACCCCTCTTCTATTCCTGCTGTTATTTGTTTTCATGGTTCTGTGTTCCCCAGAGGTGATATTATATCTCTTTTGTGGAGGAAAATCTTGAGAGTTTGAAATTTTCTGACCTATTCCACCATCTTCCCAGAATCCTCTCTCCCAATTCTAAGTTTTAAGGAGTTATTTTCTTTCATAAGTTTTCAGATCTTTTTTTTTCCAGTTGGTTGACTTTCTTTTCATAATTTTCTTGCATTGCTCTTATTTTTTTCCTAATTTTTCCTCAATCTCTCCTATTTGATTTTTAAAGTACTTTTTAAGTTCTTCCAAGAACTCTTTTGGGGCTTATGACCATTTTACATTTTTCTTTGAAGTTGAAGTAGCAGTTTTGACTTCACTATCTTCTTCTGATCGTCTCTATCACCATAGTAGCTGTCTGTGGTCAGATTCTTTCTCTTTTGCTTACTCATTTTAGTGGCTTATTTCTTGGCTGTTGACTTTATGTTAGAGTCCAGCTCTAGTCCCTAGGTATGGGGAATAATATCTCAAATTTTAAGTTTTCATGCTGTTGTTTTCTGAGCTCTACCTGAGGGCCTGATGTCAGGTACTCCTCTCTATTCCTGAACCACAATCAGGGCCCCCAGCAACACCGTAGCCAACAACATTCTTACTCCCTGCGTTCCCTCCAGAGGCTGTAAGCTTCATTTCACCCTCTGCCATGGAACCAAAACCAGGGACTCCACTCTCCTACAAGTGACCACAGACAGCGCTCACCAGCATGTATTCCCTCCTCATCCGCAACCACAGCCTGGGGCAGGGTCTGGTCAGCACATCTAGGCCCTGAGTCCAGTGCCACTGGAGAGCCCTGCAGTCTTATCCTGATAAGCCATCTGACCCCCACACTGTCCATGGGTCAAGTCAGAAGTGCCTGAAAGGGGGTGGGGGATCTGGTCAGATCTTTCCTAATGTCCTCCAGAGTTGTCTTAAGCTGGACAACTGCTTTACACCAACTTTCAATTACTTCAGCTACTCTAAAGTTCACTTTGAGGCATTATTTTAAACTGTTTATGGGGGAATTTGGGAGAACCAGATAATTTCCTCCTTTATTCTGCCATCTTTCCAGAATCCTTGACTTGACATTTTCTTAACCAAAAATTGTTAATGAATTTAATGGGTCCTTATGATAAGGAAATCTGACCCTGCCCCACAATGCAGATGAGACTTCTCTATTCTCTAAGTGTATTTCCTGGTTGGTGGGCTTGGTGCATTTTGTGGGACATTTTTAGCTGTTTTGTCCTTGGCTGTTTGTATAGAGGTACCTGCCTCTCCCAAGGCAAAAGATGGAGAGAGCATCTGTTGTACAGAGGGTGAGGGTGGAACTCAGCCTTCTTCAGGCTCTTCTGAGAGGTGAGAAAGGCAACAGACAGGTAACTGGCCTCTTCTCTTACAGAGCTTTACAGCCCGAATGCCAAATGCTGCTCTTCTCGGCAACTTTTGAGGATTCCGTGTGGCAGTTTGCCGAGCGAATCATTCCTGATCCTAATGTGATCAAGCTACGCAAAGAAGAGTTGACTCTGAACAACATCAGGCAGTATTATGTTCTGTGTGACAGTAGGAAAGACAAATACCAAGCCCTGTGCAACATCTATGGAGGCATCACCATTGGTCAGGCCATCATCTTTTGCCAGGTAACACTGGCTGGGTTGAATCCTCTCTGAAGGGGGCGCGAGCAGATTTCCCTAGTTCCCCAGTGTTTGTGCCTTGTGCAGCGTAGGCACTCAGTAGCCAGGAACACATTTGGTTCAAACATATTTACTAAATTTGCAATCTTGCTAGAACTAAAGGAGGATCAGAACTGGGATACTTTTCATCTCAGAATTCCTACTCAATTCAGCTTTCCTTCTCCTTTCCCATTCTATCTTCTTTCCAACTAGTTTAGTGCTTCCTTCTCCTTTGCAGGAAAGAAAAATAGGCTGACTTGATCATGGCCACATCTGCACAGGCCTCTTTTTGCTCCCTACAATGCCTGGTGAGATTTTAAGAGAACTAGATTTTTTTTTTTAATCTCTAACACATGCAGCAACTTGGATAGTCCCATGTCTCAAGGTCCTGACTGGCATGGATGTGTAGGAGAAGATGGCAGCAGGATACCCAGCCAGCTTTTGAATAGTGAGCTGAAATGCAACCAAACCAGCATGGGAGTGTTCAATAGGAAAGTCAAAGATGAATCCCTGAAAAGGGTTTTGGTGGCAGTAGAGGCAGTATGGTATAATACAGGTGTGGGGGACTGGCAGCTCCTTGAACAGGCCTTTTTACACAAAATGAACAAGTGAGTTTGTATCTGTGTATTACCTTATCTTGCCCTTCAGTATTACAGAATGTCAGAATTGGAAGGCACCTCACAAGCCATGCAGGCCACACGGTTCCTAAACAATCAGTCCTGCAACCTCCCCAACAAGTGGTCAGACAGCCTTTGCATGATGACCCCTAGGGAGGTAAAACCCACTGCCTCCCATTCAGCTTTTGAAGTGCTCTGACGGCTAAGAGGTTTTTCTTAACATCAACCCTAAAAACTGCCTCTTTGCAGCTTCTACCCATTGCTGGTAGTTCAAGTCCCTGTTCCATGTAACAGCCCTGCCTGTACTTGAAGAGACCATCAGCTCCATCTCTTCTCTGAAAGACTTAAATCTCCCCAGTTATTTCAGCTGATCCTAGAGTGGTGTGATCTATTAGCTCCTTCTTCCTTAGTATCTTTTCTCCCTTATCAGTGTCCTTCCTATAATGTGGTGCCCAGATTGTACCCTGCGTAAACTTTTGTTTGGTTTTCATTTGCCTGTGTATCCTAAGTGCCAAGCCCAGGCCCTTACAGGGAGCAGTTACTAAATGTTTCTTGAATTGCAGTCATGCCAGAGTAATCATTTCCTTTCTTCGACAGGGTACTCTAGGAACAGTAGTAGATCATAAACAGTATACCAAGGGACTGGATATTCCTTCCCAAACATTGCAGTAGACAGGATGGAAACTACAATGAATTGCCAGCCTTAGAAGCAAGCAGAGTTTGCCTGGTTCTCTCACACACATATCCCTACCCCAAGCACCCACTGGGACTTCCCACCTGGTTCTCTTCTCTGTAGGTATTCATTGTTGTTGTTGTTTGTCCTTCATTCTAGAAGAGGATCATGGCATCAGCAAAGGGATGCCATGGCTTGCAGATAAATTGGATTGAAGTGAGGGAGGGCTGTGCAAAGTCACCAGCTCACTTTCTGCACCTGAGCCATTTAGGCCCAGTGGCCAGATATAGATCAGGATGACTGGAGATGGCCCCGGATGCAGTGGGAGACCTGGGCCTTTTTAAGCTAAAGTCTTTCCCAGGTCTCAGTTTGACTGAGGCAATGTCCATTCAGTGATTAAGGCTAGGTGGTTGGTTGTTGTGCTTCGTTCTGGAAGCAGACCACAGTGACATGCTATGCTAAAGTCGTTATAGTGTGTCTGATGAATACAAGCTCAGAATGCTCTACCACAGGTCAGGCACAAATAGTCCATGTGAACTTTGACGTGGAATCTCTAAATTTGCGCATCTCACTTTTTTTTGAGCTACTTTAATTCTGCTGCGCACCTTCCCTGACAAAAGCATGCCATGCTGGGCGGTCCTGTGCCAGTGTGTCCCATGTCAAACAATCTATTCCAAAGTTCTTAAAAAAGACCTTGAGAGTATCCTTGTATCACTTTTTCAGACCTCTGTGTGAGCGTTTGCCCTGTGTGAGTTCTCCATAAACTAAGTCTTTCTGGCAAACGTACGTTTGGCATTTGAACAGTGTGGCCAGCCCACCGGAATTGCACTCTCTGAAGTAGAGTTTGAATGCTTGGCAGTTTACTTCAAGAAAGGATCTCAGTGTCTAGTATCTTATCCTGCTAGGTGATCTTCAGAATCTTACTGAGACAATTCAAATGGAAGCGATTCAGTTTCCAGGCATGGCACTGGTAGACTGTCCAGGTTTTGCAGGCATACAACAACGAGGTCAGCACAACGCTCAATAGACCTTTAGTTTGGTAGTCAGTCTAATACCTCTTTTCTCCCACATTTTCCTTTGGAGCCTACCAAACACCAAAGCAGTTCGTTCAAAGAATGGCTTCTTTTACCTGATCAAAAAAAGTCAACCTGGGAGAGGGAGACCCTATGGGTTTCTGGCCAAAGCAGAAACAGTTGCTATTTACATTCATTCTGAACCATCAGGGCCCAAAGACCACGTGGGGCTTGGATTGGGACCTATTGTTGGCCAATCAATGAGAGCCAGATGATTTGAATTTAAGAGGTACTCCTTAAATTGGGCTATATAGGTATTCAGTTCAGTTCGACAAGCATTTGTGCGAATAAGACAAAAGGGAAGGTCCTTGGCCTCAAGGCATTTACCTTCTACTAGTTGTTACCTCTATCTCCCCACCCCAAGACTTGCTGCTACTGTGCTTCATATCTGCCTTATATCTCAGAGCCTGGTAGTCCTAATTTATATCTTGCCACTGGACCCAGATGGCTCTGGAGGAGAAAGTGAGACTGATGACTTTGCACAGCCCTCCCTCACTGAAATCCAATTCACTTGCAAGTCATGGCATCACCTTCCAGATGTCATGGTCCTTTTCAAGAATGAAGGACAAACAATCTGTGAGTAGTAGTAGCTACCCCGCTGGGGGACCCAGCTGGCCAGTTCCATTTGAGCATCTCAGCTCCTTCCCTCCTCCTTTCCTGTTTTCGTGCCTGTTTGCCTTCCTTCTTCCCCCCTGTCCACATAGGGGATCATACCTTTACTTGCGGGTGCTCTGCCCAAAGGAATATAAATTTTGATTGCTGAAACCTTGCAAGATATCTTGGGGTTTATGGGCTAGAATTCTTTTAAGAACCATGCCTTAAACCCAAATCATTCTGGCTCTAGTTGTCAGGCCAACAATGCCCCAGCCCAAGCCTCACTTGGTCATTGTTTGGGTTCTGACAGCTTAGCGTAAGGGTGAATAGCAATAGTTTATATTTTGGCCAGAAACCCTGAGGGTCTTCCCCCTCCCAGATTGATCTTTTGTTTTGTTTTCTTTTGTTTTTTTCTTGACTAGGTAAAAGAAACTATTCTTGTCCTTTTTTATGAATTATAGGTATATATTTAAAGTTTTGTCTTCCAAAAATGTCCCTCCCATCTTAAAATTAACAGTTCAACCTAGAAAACATCAAATGCCTACTGAACAAATGACAACGTATGTACGATGCTTTGCAAATCTTAGTGCTGTTATGATTATTACTGTGTAAGGTGAATTGTGCTAGTAGGTGTCCCAGTGTTGCGGAGTCTAGGGGTGCTGGGAACCCAGAAATGCAAGGGTACAGGGAGAGAGTCTGCCTTGAAAGAATTCAACCACTCAAGCTTTCTTTCAGTCCAAGTTGTGAGTTTATTGTGACACTGGTTGGGGTGGGTGAGATTCCTAGTGAGTCTTCAGTATTTGTGATGCCAATCCAAGTGGGCCAGATTTTAAGAATCTGTGCATTTGATGAGGATAAAATTGGTACTTTTATACGGAAAGACTGTGGGAAGACCTGGATGGGATCTGGGTGGGCCAGGTGCAGACAATGAGTACCACAGTGAAAGGACAGTTAAATGGAGCATTGACCTGGGATGGGCTGTGTGCCTCAGGTGAATGCCAGAGATCTGGGTACAGGGGCCCTGGGGTCCAGGTCCCAAAGATATGGTCCCTTCCCCTTAGGGGTCTAGTGTGAATCCCATCACCTATCATTCCTCCCTCAAACAAATAGGACCCAAATTCTTTTAGGGTAAGGAGTGAAGGTCTTGGCTCCTAAAACTTCTTCCTGCTGGCAAGGGGAGTAGAGCTGTCCCTGCCTTGAGGGAGTCCCATAGAGGAGGTTGACTGGAACCGAGCACAGGCTGCATCCAGGGGACGATGCAGGGAAGAGGGGGACAGAGGCTGGTACTCACTGTTTGCTACCAGCTGTAGGTGAATGGCCAGTAATCTAGAAGACAAAAAACTGACTAACAAGTTCAAAATGTAGGGCCCAATATAGGGAGAAGTAAAAGTGATATCAGAATGGGGGACAACAAAGAAAGAAAGCAAGAGCCCCATTAGAATTGTTTACTTTTGACATACAGGATTATCTGATCTTGTTACTTCCTGCAGCTTCCTCTCTGATTCCTATTCCTTTAGGAGGATCAGGTGCTATTGGGAAGTAACACACTTTTGCAGTAGAAGTTTCCCACCCCTGGGTTCAATAGTTACACAAATGAATTTGTCAGAGACTGGTTTTTACTCCAATTATAACAAAAGACTTGGGAGGCTATTTAAGTAATGACTAGGCCAAATAGGTTACCTCCCTCTAAGAAAACTGATTGCACTGAAATTCTCTTCCCCAAACCAAACTGAAGGTGTTTCTGATTTAATTTCAGTTGTTTTGGGATGTGGAATTCAGGTCAAAACAGCAAGATCTCACACACTTGGATTATGTTTATATCTTTTACTGACTACTTGCTCTGATTATAGAAATTTGCTACAAAAAGATAAAGCAGAGACAAGATTTATACCACGTAGGACAGGATAAAACATCCTTAGAATTCAGATAATTCAGTTTTCCAACCATGCAGTATCAATTTCATCTCATAGCCAGATTCGGGAATAGCCAGGTGGGTAACATTCCTTTTCA